TCTCCAGGACGAATCTATTTGTTTTCCAAGCAGTCCATGGTATTCTCAGTACTCTTCTCCAGCACCACAGCTCAAAGGCATCAATTCTCCTTCTATCCTCTTTGGTCATTGTCCAACTCTCTGATGCATAACAGGTGATTGCGAAGACCATGGCCTATATCAAATGCACCTTAGTCTCCAGAGAGACACCACTGCTCTTCAGCACTTTGGAGAGGTCCCTAACATTTCCCATGGCAATGCGCTTTTTAATTTCCTGGCTGCTGGTGCCAAGAGTGTTGACTTTCTAGTAGGTAGACTTGGCTAACTCCCTGAAAGAAACAAAATCTCTTGAGGTGGGTGGGTCCCCACTCCAATGAAAAGGCCCCTCTGGGACTCTGCCCCAAAGAATAATAAGAAGAAAAAAATAAAATAAATTTTAAAAAAAAGAGTGTTAACTGTGGAGCATTACCATTATATTATTCTCTCAAATGCACTACTATCAAAAGAAACTATTTTATCAAGTATCTAGTATTTCCATATATCCTTCTATACACACATGTGAGTGAGATATACAATGTGTGTCTGTAATGGAAGCCGGTAAAGGACCAAGAAAAAATAAGTATATGTGTTCCTCAAGGTTGTATACTTTTACAAGTCTTTTCAATTTGGAGTTTTATTATTTCAGAAGCTGGAATGTATAAAGAAGAATGTAGCATTAGGATTGAAGAAATATTTATAAACAACTTGTGGCATGCAGATGACAAATCCTTACTTGATGAATGTGAAGAAGACCTGAAGTACTGAATAAAGTATACAGATAATACTTTTCAGTATGGATTATACCTCAACATTAATAAAATAAAAATCTTTTTAAGTGGTCAAAAACTTAACATCATGAACAGTGAACAGAATTAAGTTTTCAAAGGTTTCATATGATTTGGATCCACAACCAATACCCATGAAAACAGCAGTCAATAAATCAAAAGACATATGGCAAGGAACAAACCAGTTTCCAAGAACTTCTAAAAAGTGCTAATAAGAACGTTCAATTATAAACTAAACTATACATAACACAAGTAATGGCATTTTTAATTGTTTGAAATTCTATGAAAGAAAATGAATAGAAAAGAATGAAGACTCTATGTTTTTAAATTGTGGTGTATTGCAGGATTATTTCAGAATAAACAAATCTGTGTCAGAAAAAGTACACCCAAAGTGCTCCTCAAAGACTTCATCTTACATACTTTTTATATGTTAACATAAGCAGGATAATCCTTGAAAACTGTATTATGTTAAGAAAAGAAAAGAGTCACCAAAAAAAGAGGAAGAATCTAGATGGACTTACTTAGTCACTGGAACAATGGGACTTAAGTACACTAGAGAACGTAAGGATGGAATCAGAGAGGGAATGGTTTAGTTTTATTGCTCACAGAATGCTATGATTCAGAAATGACTCAAAACCAATTGTTAGTTTGGTGTATTTTAAACATTTGTCTGTAATATTACTATTTTTATCCTTCATCCTTTGTCAATTTTTTAATTCTGAAATAAACTTACTCATTTAATTTACATTTAACACAGCCTGAATAAATATTTTTCAATATACTGCAAGTTTTTTTATCTTATGGATTTATTCATGTTTGTAATTTTGCTGAAATAAAAATTATAAGCATCCATATTACATGTTTATTCCTTCACGAGTTTATTCCTTCATTTACTCAACTTTGGCTCCTGGTCAATGTGATTTATGCACCTCCAAAACCAGTAAGTCACTGTATATAGTTGCCAGTTGCTATAATGTTGATCATGTTTCGGTGGAGCTTACAGACTAAGACAGATTTAGAGGCCTTTTGATCTATTTTAAAAAAATCAAGCCATGAAAACTCTATGGATGACACCAGAACCTATGATTGGGATGGCACAGGACTGAGTGGTTTTCATTTGCATTTTGTTGTAGTCCCCAGGAGTTGCTGGTAAATTAAACAACAGCCAATATTAACATTCCTTTACTTTTAAGTTTAACACTGTAACTGTTTTTAACTGGAAATGTGTTATTCAAAATGAAAATTGTCAAAGGAACAACATAAAATGAAGCAGACAGAACTCTCCTAAAAGTACTATCCTTCTATATGAAAATGTGAACATTGAAATAGTTAACTAAAAATATTTATTACCTGTTAAGTGATTTAAGTAGTACTGATAGAGCTTGCACTGAATTGGAGTCATTCTAACAGCCAACACATACTCATGTTTTGGAGGCAAGAACTTTGTTAATGCTGTATAATCTTTCCTCTATAATGAATGAGAAAGAAAATGAAAATCAGTGAATGATAACAATTATCTCCTTTAAGAATTCTCATTACTAAAATAGGTAAGTAAGTATCAAACACATAAGCAATTCTTCAACATAGTAATCCTCCTTAATACTCAATGGCTCACAAATGACTGCAGTTGATGTACTTTATATGAGGAGACAATACGGTGGCTGCTTTTGTTACATACCATCAAGTTGCAAGCAACTCATACCTGAACCACCAGCAGGTTTTCAAAGGTAATAATCATGGAAAGAGACTGCCAATCTTTCTCCCGTGGAGCAGCTAGTGGATTCAAACAGAATGCCTTTCTTTGGGTTAGCAGCAGAAATCTTTACCACTTAGGCCACCAGAACAATATGGTATACCAGTGAAAAGATACTGCAACATGTGACACAGGTTTGTTTGTTATTTTATTATTTTGTGTGTGTCTGTACCGTCAAATCAGATCCGACAGGTCCAGGAGGAGATTGCCCCTCCTTTTCCAGCAGAGCATCTGGTGGATTCAAACCACAAATCTCTGGGATTGCAGTGCAGCTTCTTGCCACTAGGCCACCAGAGCTCCCCTTGTGTGACACGAGTTTTAAATATTCACATTACCAAGTGAGTAGTTTACAGATTCAAAATTATCTCGATACAGGAAAAGAAAGAAACAAAGATAAGGTTTTAATAGGTAGACATGATTTGCATTAATAATATAGTAAAACCGGAAAAAAAGTCTGATAAACTCTAATTATATAAAATATGCCAATGCCAACTGATAATGCATAATTTGAAGAGGATTCATGTTCAATTGTGAAAGAAAGTTATGAAAAGAAAAAATCATGATTCTTGAAACAGAACACATTAATTTGCTAAACACAAATAAATAAGGAGGGACAGAAAGGTGTGCACAGACAACCAAACCCTACACATAGCTGAAGTAGTAAAAGGAAAACAGAAAAATATTAGTTACTATTATCAGCGATCAATCTGACCAAAACAGAGGACTTTGTCTTATATCGTGTCAGTACATATATGCAAAACAATACCTTTCTCACTTGTTACCATATGTTTGTGCCTATTTACTGTTTGAAGAGTAAACGTAGGCCTTATGACTTGTTAATTTATATGCATTATATTATCAGTGTTTTAATGTAAATTCACTGAGCATGTTTACTTAAATACCATAATTAGCATGGTTCAAGTTACTGTATAAGCTTAAAGTTAATAAAATTGTATCTTTAGGATTACATTGAAAATGGTTCCTTGTTAATTCATTCTGGCCTTCTGTACAACATTTCAAATTATGCTTACAATACAACACTATAATTACAGTGACCATAGGGCTTTCTTAATCATAAAAGCTGTGCAACTTTGACAAATTTAATTATATAAAGGACAATAAAAATCTAAACATTAACTTACTAAAATGTAAAAAAATCTTATTTGACAAAAAACCGAACCAACAATGCAATAAGTTTCCATTTATTCATAGTGTATATAGTCAAGTAGGAAACCACTAATGGCTGACCATACAGTGGGTTTTCAGAGGCAGTAAATCACATGGGAGGAGATTGCCTGTCTTTCTAAATGAAGGTAACTAACGAATTTTAATCACGTAACACTGTGTTGGCAGTGAAATTTCATACCAATAAACTACCAATACTGGAAGCAGGAGTGGCATCCACTTCCTAAACAACCTGCCTCTGGAAATTCTATAAATGTTAATAAATGTCAACAGTTATGGAAAGGTTTCAGGCCTTTTGTTCATAGGGTCGCTATGAGTCATGCTTGACTTGAAGGCAATCAACAACAACAAGCTACCAATGAATTTCACTAGAATAGATCTTAAATTTTGAATTCACATGCATAAATCATTGAACAATAGAAAGGGATTTAAATGTAAAGCTACCTACTGCAAAATGGAGAAAGAAAATTCGAACTGCAGAACTGCAATATATACAGTAACAATATTGAATTACTATGGAAGATACCTGAACACATCCGGCTAACATCTCATAGAGAATGTGAGCACGTTTTTTCATCACTCTGACATCTACCATGGTAGAATCTGCACATTGACCATTTTGGATTGGATTTATAAATCTATTTCTGAACTCCTTAATGGATCCAAGCAAATTCTCCTTGATAAAATTAACCATACAATGATCTACAAGAGAAAACATTGATTCATTAAAAACAAATGGGTAAAATGACTCAAAAAGTTTCTGATGTTCCTTCTGAAATAAAATGGTGTATTATATTACTAAGAAAGAAAAATTGAAGCCATATAAGATAAACACTTTGATCAGAACTAAATCTCAAAAATGAGATAAGAAAATGAAATGAAAATAAAAAACAGAAAATTTTTTAACTATCTAAGGTCATTTTTTCCCTTCACTACTCTTTATAACACTTATTAACAAAATAGAGGTATTCTGTTCCTCTAAGAGAACTCTGGAGCTGTAGTCCACAGGGACATGTACTGCTAACCCAAAGGTGATTAGTATACACCAGGAGCTCTGAAGGAGAACAATAACTACCTGCTCCCATACAATTTTATAACTCTGGATGTGAAATGAAGGGTTATCAATGAATCAATTCTGACTAGACAGCAATGAGTCTGAGTTTGTTTTAATAACCCTAAATACATTGTTAGGATGATTGTCTAGTAAAACAATTATTAAATAATGAATCAATAAAACAGGATAATAAGCTACTATCCCAAATATAAACTGATTCAATTCGAAAAATTCGTAACAGAGCTATTCATTTTTGCTATACTATTTAGAATGATAATATAAAATATATTAGAAGGGATAGAAAAGGAAGAAGCTAAAGCAAATAATAATAATAATAATAATAATAAAATAAGATAGAAAATAATTACTATAAAGCAAAATAACTGAGCAATTACAAAACTACTTGAAAGAAATTACAACGGAAACCCCAAAAATGAAAAATTACACTAACAAAATTATAAATGCTTTCTTAACAAATGATCTCATGTTTCTCCATCACTCTCACCAATCATAACAAAAAATCTAAGTGAAACTCATAAATCACACGCTGTTTTCAGCCTCAGTAAACTCTATTCTACCATAGTAGCACAGGTCTTTTTCTCTCATGTTCAACTTTCTGACACACTTTTTTTTATAACCCATGAGTATCTCCTAAAACTCTGGGTACCTTATTTTCGTATCTGTCCTCTAAGCAGCAACACAAATTGCATTTCTCAGTCTGAATGAAACAAATTAAAACGTACAAAGATTTGCACCCCTGGGCCAACTCACAGCATCAGGATGGATGGTGAAGACCTTGAGATTGTTAAGAGCTTTAGTTTGTTTGGCTCCATAGTCAGGAAATTAAAAGATGTATTGCAATAGGTAACTCTGCTATTAGGGACCTCTTCAAAGTACTGAAGAGCACTGGTGTCATTCTGGAGACTAAGGTGCACCTGATATAGGCCATGGTCTTTGCAATCACTTGCAATGCATAAGAGAACTGGACAATGACTAGGGAGAATAGAAGGTGAATTGATGTCTTTGAGCTGTGCGCTAGAGAAGAGTATTGAATATACTATGGACTGCTAAGAAAATGAACAGGTTCATCCCAGAGAGAGTTAAACCAGGCTGCTCCTTGGAGGCAAGGATTCAGGAGCCTTGCCTGACATACTTTGAACATGGTGCAAGGAAGGACCAGACCTTGGAGAAGGACGTCATGCTTGGGAAGGTGGAGGGACAGTGCAGGACATTAAGAACCTCTATGAAGTCGAATGATTCAGTGACTTGCATAATGTGTGTGTATGTGTGTCAGAGACAGTGAAATTGGCAGAGGATAGAGTAGGACTTAGGACTATTGTACATAAGGTCACTATGAGTTGCAGGCAACTCGACGGCATAGAACAACAAAAACAACAACAACTATCATCATGCTAGTTCCTACTCATATCAGCCCTCTAATGGGTTTCCCAAGTTATATATCTTAAGAGGAGTCTCATCTTTCTCCTCTAGAGTTGTTACCTGGCTTATATTTCTGGTGAATTGAATACTGACTCTGGCTGGGAGCACAGTTTGCTAAAGACCACTTTACCAGAGCTAATCCTACTTCTTAAAAGCAGTAAAAGAAGAATTTTAACAAAACATAATGTAGATTCTACATTTATATATCTGAAAATTCATAATGGTACATTTGTTGACTACAGTTTATCATTCATGAAAGTAATCCTCTTGGGGGGGTGAGTATTCCCCTAGGAAAAGTATTTTTCCACAGTAGACTGAAATGATCTACGTAAGCCCAAAGTCAGACACAATAATGGAGAATATAGAAGATGAACTGAAAACTGGCAAAAAGTACAGAACATAATGCCAATGCTATAAAATATAAATGAAGATGTTTCACTCACACTCAATTAGGTTATTCTGAAGTGGTGTTCCTGTTAAAATAATCCGCCTTCTTGATCTTATAGAATTCATAGCTTTTGAAACGGCAGATGCTTCATTTTTTAGTATATGACCTTCATCACAAACTACAAAGTCCGGGCCTATAAAAATGCAGAGAAAATAATGTTAATATAAATATATAAATTAAAGCTAGTATGGATTTAAGTGAATAAAATGTATGGTTTAACAATGCTGGTCTTGGGAGAACACAGTAATATTGTAAGAATCATGTACTTTATCTTCTACATTATTTAATATTACACTAAAAAGCATTAATTATATACCATCAGAAAAATATTCACTTGACTGATTAGTCTTTTGTTCTACATGAAATTTAGTAAAATTACCTTGAGTTGATTTTTGTGTGTGATGTGAGGTGTGGATCCTGTTTCAGTTTTACGGAGGCAGCAGTACAATTTTGTCAGCATCATTTGTAGAAGAGACTGTCATTTCTCAATTTGATAGAATTTCTTTGTGAACTATCAGTTGACCATAGATAGACGTATGCATTTTAAGTTCCCAATTCTGTTCCATTGGTCTATGTACCTAACATTGTACTAGTACTATGCCATTTTGGTTACTATCTCAGTGTAGTAGGTTTTGCAGTCAGGGAGTCTTAACCTTCCCACATCATTTTTGTTCATAAGAAGTGCTTTACTTAATCAGGGTCTCTTTCATTTCCAAAGAAACCTGACAATTTGCTTTTTAATCTTCTGGAAAAAAGAATCTGTTGTCTGTATAGGGGTGGCATTAAAATTGTAGATTGCTTTTGGTAGAGTTGTCATTTTCAAAAGACTGAGTATTGCTATCCATTAGCAGGGCACACTTTTCAATTTATTTAAGTGTTTTATGGTATCTTGTTAACAATAACTATACCATCCCGAGTATCATACCCTCTTCTAAATTCAGCCTGAACTTCTGGCATCTCTCAGTTGATACGCTGTTCCAGTCATTTTTGGATACTTTTCAGCAGAATCTTGCTTGCCTGTGATATTACTGATATTGTTCAATAATTTCAACACTGTCAGGTAACCTTTCTTTGGAATTCGAACAAATATAGATATCTTTTAGTTAGTTGGCCAAGAGGTTGTCCTCCAAATTTCTTGGTACAACTTCGTGAGCACATCCAGGGCAGCGAATGTTTGTTGAATTATGTCAATTGGTATGCTGTCAATTCCTCGGGTCTTATGTTTTGCCAATTCATTCAGAGCAGCTTGAACTTCTTCCTCAAAAACCACAAGCTCTTGCTCATATGTTGTTTCATTTTTGTGTCAGTCAATTCCTTTGGGTATCATGACTCTGTATACTGTTTTCATCATCTTCGAATGATTCTTTGATCATTTAATATTCTGCCTATAGCACTGGCCCAATTGGCAGGATCTGGATAGATGGTAAAGAGACTGAGATTGTTCACAGCTTTAGTTTGTTTGACTCCACAGTCAACACTCTCTGCACCAGCAGCCAGGAAATGAAAAGATGTATTGCGATGAGAAAGTCTGCTGTTAGGGACCTTTCCAAAGTACTAAAGAGCAATGGTGTCTCTCTGGAGTATGCCAATCATTTGCTATACATCAGAGAGCTGGACAATGACTAGGGAGGACAGATGGAGAATTGATGCTTTTGAGCTGTTGTGCTGGAGACGAGTATTGAATATACCATAGGCTGCTAAGAAAACAAACAGGTTCATCCTGGAGAGGGTTAAAACAGGCTGCTCCTTGGAGGCAAGGATTCTGAGGCTTCGTCCAACATAATTTGAAAATGTTGCAAGGAGGGACTGGTCCTTAGGGATGTCATGCTTGGGAGGGTGGAGGGACAGCGCAGGAGAGGAAGACCCTCAATGAGATGAATTGATTCAGTGACTGGGGTAATGGGGGTGGGTGTGTGGGAGACAGTGAGATTGGCACAGGACAGAGCAAGGTTTAGGGCTGTTGTACATAGGAACGCTATGAGTCGTAAGTGAGTCCATGGCACATAACAACAAACAGCAACATAGCATCCTAAAGTACTAAGCACAACTTGAGGCTTCAATTTGTTCTTCATTAACTTCACCTTAAGAAATGCTAAACAACTTTGATCTCTTTGATTTTCTGACTCCAGCTCTTTGTACATTTCATTCTAACACTTTACATTGTCTTCCCGCCCTGCCCACTGAAATCTGTTCATATCCTTAATTTCTTTCTTTTGCTTTGGCTTCTCTGCACTCTAGTAAAATATAATAGCTGATATGTATATCTTGGCTGAAAGCAGTACCAAATTAACTATGCAAAGGGATTCTGACTGTGTGGGTCACAACAAACTGTGGCTAACTCTGATAAGAATGGAATCTCAGAATACTTGACAGTGCTTATATGAAACCTTTACTTGGACCAGGAGGCAATCGTAAGAAAATAGAGACACTGAATAGCTCAAAATTGTGAAGGGTCTATACCAGGGATGTTCTATATACAGAACAGATTATCCAGGACACTGGGCTATATGAGAAGAAATATGGCATCAGAATTGGAGGAAGACTCATCAACAATCTGCGTTATGTAGATGACAAAACCATGCTTGCTGAAACTGAAGAGAACTTGAAGCACTTGCTGCAGAAGGTAAAGGAGTGTAACCTTAAATATACATTGAAGCTTAACATCAAGAAAACAAATATTCTCACCACTGGGCCAACTGATAACATCATGATAGATGATAAAGAGACTGAGATTGTTAATGGTTTCCGTTTGCTTGGTTCCACAATCAACACTCCTGGTACCAGTAGGCAGGAAATTAAAAGAGAAATTGCATTAGGAAAGTCTGCTGTCAGAGACCTCTCCAAAGTACAGAAGAGCAACAATGTCAATCTGGGAACTAAGGTGTGACTAATTCAGGCCATGGTCTCTGCAATTACTTGGTATGCATCAGAGAGCTGGATACTGACTAATGATGATAAAAGGAGAATTGATGGCTTTGAGCTATGGTGCAGGAGAAGTATACCATGGACAGCTAGGAGAAAAAATGGGTTTGTCCTAGAGAGGGTTAAATCAGGCTGCTCCTTGCAGGCATGGATTCTAGATCTTCTTCCGACACACTTTGGACATGCTGCAGGGAGGGACCAGTTCTTGGAGAAGGACATCATGCTTAAGAGGGTGGAGGGACAGCTCAAGAGAGAAAACCCCTCAATGAGACGGACTCATAAGATTGGCAAAGAAGAGAGCAGGGTATCGTGCTGTTGTACATAGGGTTGCTATGAGTCAGAAGAAACTTGATGGCACATAACACCACCACTATGTTTTGCAGAAACGTTCTGTAGTTTTCTCTATATAGATCTTTTTGTATATCTAGTTACATTCACTCCTAAGTATTTCAATTTGTGGCTGACTACTGCAAATAGTACTGCTTTCTTGGTTTCCTTCTCTGAGTTCTCTTGGTGACTGTATTTGAATCCCCCTCATTTTTTCCTATACTGATCTTACATCCTGTCACTCTATTAAATTAGTCTACTGGCTGAAAGAGTTTTTTGGTTGAGCACTGGGACTTTTCTATGTACAGTATACCGTATCTTATCATCTGCATATAGCGATAGTTTAACCATCTCTTTGCCAATCTGGATGTCTTTTCTTTCCTTCTTGGGTTGTACTGCCATAGCAAGCACTTCCAATGGAATACTGAATAGAATTGATGACAGCAGGCATCATTTTGTGGTCCCAGTTCACAAGAAAAGTGAGAATAATGTTGGCTCTTGGTTTTGCATATATACTTTTCACTATGTTAAGGAAATCTATTTCAATTTTGCCGAGTGCCTTAATCTGGAAGGGGTGCTGTATTTTGTCAAATACCTTTTCTGCATCAATTGCTAGGATCTGATGAGTCCTGTTAATTTTTTTTTATTGTGGTGATATTAAGTTGATGGTTTGTCTTATGTTGAATACCTCCTTCTTATGTTACATACCTTTTTTGAATCCCATTAGATCATGATCAATTATTTTATTGATGTGCTTTTTTATTCTATTGGCTAGGATTTTCTTAAGGATTTCTGCATGTATATTAATGAGAGACACTGCTCTGTAGTTTTCATTCTTGGTAATATAATTTACCTGGTTTTGGTATTAGGGTTTTACTTGCTGCACAGAATGACTCTGGGAGTGTTCCATCTCTATTTTTTTTAACATATTTAAGTAGAATTGTTTCTAGATCTCTGAATTTTTAGTAGAATTTAGCTTTGAAGCCGTCTGGTCCAGGACTTTTATTATCAGGAAGTCTTCTTATGACCTATTCAATTTGTTTCAAGAAATTCATCCATTTCCTCTAGGTTTTTAAAATTTATCATAGTATACCTTTTCCTAAGTATTCTGATATTATCGATTTAATTTCATCTGGTTCTGTTGTGATGCTTACCACATCATTCCTTAATCAATTTGTCATCTTTTTTTTCTTTTTTTAAGTTTCCCAGCAGTGTTTCAGTTTTATTTACTTTTGAAAAACCAGCTTTTATGATCTTATTGATGGTTTCAATTGTTTTTCTATTTCCATCTCACTGATTTCATCTCTTGTGTTATAATTTCCTTTCTTTTACAGGTTGTAAGATTAGACTGTTGTCCTTTTTCTATTTGATGAAGGTGTTCATTTGGGTCACTGATTTTTTTTTCTTTATTTCATTTTTGTGTGTGCCTCTTGTGTGGCCCCAATGACTGGCTCAGATGCATCCTTGGAGGTTTTGGAATGTTGTATTTTCGTTTTCATCTGTTTCAAGCAATTTTTTAAATTTATTCTTTATTTCTTCTGTAACTCATTCATGTTTTAGCACAATGTTAGTTTCCACATGGGTGGTTTTCTAAGCTATACCCTCCTGTGGTTAACTTCCATTTTTATGGCATTGTGCTCTTGAGAAGATGCTTTGTATTATTTCAATGTTTTTTAATTTGTTGAGGCTTCCTTTATGTCTTAATGTATGATCAGTTCTGGAGAATGTACCATGTGCACTTGAGAAGAAATTCAATTGAGTTTTAATTGGGAGCAGTACCTTAATACATACACCAGGCCAAGTTGTCTGATTATAGATTTTCTGAATCTTTGTTAGGTTTCTTAGGGGTTGACCTATCCTTTTGACAAGAGTGGTGTGCTGAACCCTCCAAACACTATTCTGATGCTATCTATTCCTTTCTTCAATTTTGTTAATCATTGCTTTATGTATTTTGCAGGTCTATCATTTGGTGCATAAATGCTGACCAGGTTATATCTTCTTGATCTACTGTACATTCAATCTGTATGTAATGCATTTCCTTAGATTTTATGGTGGTTTTAATGCTGAAGTCTATTTTATCAGAGATTAGTATTGCCACTCCTGGCTGTTTTGTGGTTGCGATTTGTTTGGTTTTTTTTTTTCCGCCAGCCTTTGATTTTGTGTTTGTCTTTCCAGTTTTTCAGATGGGTCTCTTCTAGGCAACACACTGTGATAGAATTTATTTATTTATTTAATCCATTCGCTTACTGTATTTCTCTTGATTGGCACATTTATTCTGTTCACATTAAGTGTGATTACCGTGAGCCAAGTTTTACCGCTGACATTTTACTGTTTCTTTTTCTGTTGTTTTTAGTTACTAAGGTCCATCTGGGAGCTCTGGTGGCCTAGAGGCAAGAAGCTTTGCTGTAATTCCAAAGGCACAGGGTTTGAGGCCGTCAATTGCTCCACAGGAAAAGGATGGGCAATGTCCTACTGTACAATTAACTGCCTCTGAAAAAACTGCCAGAGGGTCACTATATCAGTTCCGACTCTGGTACACAAGAACAGCAAAGTCTACCCACTTTCGTTTAGTGTCTCTTGTGATGGACTTCACTTAAAAGTTTCTTGTAGTTTTGGCCTTGTTTTCACAAATTCTTTAATTTCCTTCTTCTCTGCTAAGGATCTAATTTCTTCTTCATATTTGATAGAGAGTTTTTTTTTAGGAACTGTTTTCATTTTCTGTATATGCCATCCCATTGTCTTCAAATTCACATGGTTGCCAGTGAGAAATCAAGTTCTGATTCTCCTTTATATATGACTCTGTTTTTCTTGTGCTGTTTTATATATTCTTTCTTTACTTTTTAATTTGCAACAATTGACTATGGTGTCTTGATGGTTTTCTTTTTGGGTCTAGTCTATCTGTGCTTCTTAAATGTGGATTTCCTCGTTCTTCAAAATACGTGGGAAGTTTTCTTCTAGTACATCTTCCATAATTTTTTTCAGTGACATTCCTAATGTTTTCTTCATTTTCTTTACATTTCATTTCTGATTTTTCATCCAGTATGTTTCCAGTGAGGCTCTTACCTTCAAGCTCACTGACTTACAGCTTTTCAGTTCTACTTTTATGTCCCACCAGCATGTTGGCATGGCTTTTAAATTCAAGTAGGTTAAACTAAAAATCATATTGTGGTTTCCATAGGCTTGCTTTTATCCTCTTCAACTTCATCTTGAACTTGCATATGAGTTGTTCATGTCCCAGGCCTTGTTTTGACTGTTGTTTGTAATCTTTTCCTACAGATGTAGTCAATTTGATTTCTGTAAATGCCAGCAAGAAAGGCCAAGTGTATATTCAACATTTATGTGGTTTTCTTTAAGAAGGTGTCTACAATAAATAAAGTACTGATTGATCAAAATTACACCATCCACTCTACAGCCTCCTTTCTATTAGCAAGGTATGTTTTATAGTTCTTTCCACTTTTTTACATTCCAGTCACCAACTGTTCCTAATACATCTTGTCTGCATATTCAGTCAACTGCAGAGTGAAGAAGATGTTGGTGGAAATAATTTTGTTTTATTTAGTGGCTGATGTAAATATCTGAACAACAGTTGTATTAACACATTTCTTTGAATGCTTATGAATAGTATCCTATAATTCATAACACTATACTTTCAGATAGATTTTGAAATGTTTTGTTTGATCATGAAGTCAACATAATTCCTTTACAATCTGTCATTCCAGGCATAGTAAATCATATGACTGTTTGATTCAAAAGGTCTCACACGCGTCCATGTCACCTTACTGATGCTTAATATGTCAATTTTCTTATGTGACATTTTATGTTTTAACTTTTACATGCTTTACATGTTACGTATTTCACTTTCTCCCTTTTAATGAATGTTTATAGCTGTTTCCAGTCATATAGAGTCTAACTATACCAGGAAATGAAGGTCCTTCATTCAGTCAGGTCTTTAGTACATCAACATCAGAATATACTATGACAGAATGTACTGTGAGGAGACAGGTCTTCCTCACTTGGAAAAGTTTCTACAACTGGAGGTAATCCTATTCCATAAGGTATCTATCCAACAATGTTCGATTATTATAAATAAAGTATAAAGTCTACCTAAGTCTAAAGAAATAAGGACTTTTCTCCACAACCAACAGAAAGCCTTTGTCTTGAAATAATGTCCTGCACCTGAACTTCTAGCCTCTCACACTAAAATTCACAGCTTATCATTCAAGCTCGTTTACTGGGTCTGCTTTCATTTTGCTGTCAGGCTGGCAGTGGTTGCTGTTGATAAGTGCTGCCAAGCTGCAAACAATTCACAGATGAACTTCCAGTATGTTTTAAGAGATGGTAAATGGCACAGGAGGAGAATGCTAATCTTTCTCCTGCAGATAAATGGTAATGCAAACTGCTTGTCTTTGGGTCTGCAATACAAATTCTTACCCAATAGTCCATCAAGCTATGCTACTGGTGTTTCAAATACCAGCAACTTCACTTACAGTGTTCAATATTCAGAAAAACTTTCAGACTGAGATAAATACACTACAAAATAAGAATAAAACTGGACATTGGGATCTCTTGAAACCTAAATCCTTATGTTTATTATTTCTTAAAAAAGATATGAAGATTTAGAAAACCCTACCATCTCAGCCAGAAAAAGACACACAAACACAAACCACAATCAGAAGACCAAAAAATACATGAAGAAATTCTCATTAGCTATTAGAGATGATGATGATAATAATAATAATTCTTGTTATTACTATTCTTTTTATTATTTTTTAAAAAAACAGGTTTCTCAACTCATTCCAGCAACAACAGCAAAATACCACAGGTCAGTAAATAGCAAATTCTTAACAAGAGTGTGTAGGGAGGATGAACTGTCATATAATGCTGGTGACATCGTAAAATACAATAGTTTTGGCAAGAGTTCAAGTGTCCATGAAGAATAGAATGGATCGAGAACCATGGTACATTCACAGAATACTTAACTCAGCACTGAAAAATAATAAACTTGTGAAACACTACACAGTATGGATGAATCTAGAAGATACTATGCTGAGTGAAATATCTCAGTCAAAATGGACCAAGTACTGCATAAGTTAACTACTGTAATAAAAGCATATGACATGGGTGTAAGGAGGGAAGAATGGTCAGGTAATGAATACAGCAGTAGAATGGGTCAAACGAAGGACACAAATGATCAGAAACTACGTACATGACAATTAATAGCCTGGAACAGGACAAGTTTTACAAAGAACACTAGGGGATAAGGAGGAAGGAAAGTGTACAGGAAAAGTCTGAAAAGCATCTCTTCATAAATCTTCACTAAAATAAAATTTAAGATGAGACAAAAATAAAAATAAAACAGAGGGAGTTTGGAATTAAAAAATATATATTAAGTTGGATGTAAGGAAAGACAATATACAATAAGGAGCTGATCAGGTATTGAAACTAATCATCCTATAAATTGTTATCAATATTATAACATACAATGTATATGGTTTAATTTAAAATCACCATGATTTGTAAACTTTCTCTCAAATAAAAAACAATTTTCATCCATAAAAATTTGCTTAATTTTATGTGTAGTCCACCCTGCTACTTTCCCATGTGCCCCAAAGAATGAAGTCCATGGCTCTCACATCAGATTAACATCATAAAGATTGACGGATTTGCAAAAATTAAGTCTCCATACTGAAAATTCATGAAAGGATTCATGAAGCAATTCATCTAATGACACAAGTATAAAAGAGGATTTGAAAATTATTTTCAGACTGTATAGATATTTCTTATCAAATAAGAGCCAATGTTTGAAGAATTTATACTTGTAATATAAAACAATTCACTACCTTCTATATTCCCAATTATTTAAAAAGTCTCTCTTGTACCATCACCCTCAACCCCCTGCTCAAACACTTAACAGACTGAAAAGGTAAACTCTGAAGAGCTGGAATCATTAAGGGTGACTGTACCTTAATGAACTAATACAAAAAATCAAAACCAGCAAAAAAAATGAATAATAAACAAAATTCAGCAATGTACCAGTCGTCCCATACTTTTTTTTTTAAATCAATTTGCTTCTTTATCTAAATACTTATTAAAAACTTACCTGGGTCAACCAAAGCTTTGTTAAAGATTTCTTTCAGTTTTCTACTTTTCACATTTCTTCCTTGAGCAAGATTTCTATACATTTCATACCCTATAATCATGACACCACCTTCTTCTTGCCATCGCTGTAGCATGTAGCTTCTCTCTTGAGGACGTTTCACAGTGGCTAATTCAGAGACCTTTTGTAAGAAATAAGGTTTTATAAAGTAGCTACTAAGAATATACAAACACAACACTTCTGTAATGACTTATGAAAATTTATTTAAAAAATCTATATTCCTTTATAAATCTCTATTTTGTACTAGAAAGAGTTTAACATATGATACCTCAAGCTTCTCATCATCACTTAATCCATCTTGCCATTTCTCAAATTCATTCATCCAATTCAAAGCAGTATTAAGAGGACAAACCACTAAGGCAGTGCTGAAATCCAATTTCTCACACAAAAGAACAGTATGCAGAAAACTTACAACCTAATAGAAAAAAGATAAAGATATCATCTTTATTTCAATGTCCATAAAATTTCATAATCCAGAGACTAACTTAATAATCAGCATTGCTTTAAAGAAAACAAGTTAGTAAAAAGATTATCAACTTTCACAATAGACAAAGTAAAGAGACAAGACATATACAACGTTCTTTCAACTTTAAACCTCCATAATTCTATGATCAATATGAATAATATCAACTTATTTCACTTCAAAGATAGCTATTAGTTTCCTCTGATCTCCACATAACTTTCATGCTGCCTACCATAAAATACAGTCATTTAGTTTTGCTGCCGGTAGGTGCTGTTGAATCAAGTACAACTCAAAGTGACCGTATAAACAACAGATCTGAACCCCCTCTTATCCTGTGACATCTTTACACTTCCTAACACACTAGGGCCTACTGTGTCTGTCAGGGTGTTGATCCACCTGGTCAAGGTTCTTTCTCTCCTTCACTGACCCTCTACCCTTCCAAGCATCATGTCCCTCTCCAAGGAACCCTCCTAGCATCATACCAGAAGTATGTGAGGAAGCATATTCATCTTTGCCTCCAAAGACAACTCCAGCTGCACTACCTCCAACACATACCTGTTTCTTCTTTTGGCCCTCTTCTCCAACACCACAGATCAAAGATGTCAATTCATTTTCTGTCATTCTTATTCACTATTCAGCTCCCAGATGCATAGCAAGTGATAGAAAGACTATGGCCTGAATCAGACACACCTTAGTCCTCAAACTACCATCATTACTACTCAGTAATTTTGAGAGGTACCTAACTGCAGACTTTCCCACTGCAAGATCTCTTTATTTCCTAACTGCTGGCACCAATGGTGTTAACTGTAGATCCAAACAAGATGAAGTTGATGACATTTTGAATCTCTTCTCCATCTATCATTATGTTGCCTTATCTGTCCAGTGGTAAGAATCTTTGTTTTCTTTACATTGAGATGGAATCCATATTGAAGGCTATATTCTTTGATCTTCTGCAACAAGAGTTTTAAGTTCTCCTTACTTTCAGCAAGCAAGGTTGTGTCATCTGCATAACGTAGATTTACTGATGAGTCTCCTTCCAATCCTGATGCCACATTCCTCTTCATAAAGTCCAGCTTCCCAAATAATTTGCTCACCATACAAACTGAATAGGTATGGAAAAAGAATACAACTCTGGTGTGTACTCTACTTAATTTTAAGCCATGCAGTCTTCCCTTGTGCTGTTCGCACAATAGCTTCCTGGTCCAGGTATAAGTTTTGCATGTGTACTAATATGTACTCTGGGACTCCAATTCTCAATGTCAGCTACAACGTATTACACTCCACACAGTCAAACACCTTTGCACAGTCAATAAAGCACAAATAGACATACTTCTGGTATTCTCTATTTTCAACAAGAATATATCTGGCATTAGCAATGCTAACCCTAATGCCACATCCTCTTCTAAATCCTGCTTGAACTTCTGGAAGTTCTCTATCTATGTACTGTTCTAGCAGTTTTTAAATGATCTTCAGCACTATTTTGCTTGTATATGATATTGTTCAATAGTTTCTACAATCCTTGAAACAGACATCATGCTGGATAAAGAGTAACATGAAAGGAGAGTAAGACTTTGAACAAAAGGGACTGGCACACTGACTTAAAGATTCAATGTTAAGATTTTTCATTCACAGTGTAAAAATGAGTCTAGTCAACTTGCTGCACCTAACAACAATGACAAGAATGTAACCAATAATAATTGAAAAGCCCTCACTTCTTAGTATACCCAACCACAAAAGGTCAACACAGCAGTATTTGACCAAGGACAGAACCAAAAAGTCAGGAAAGAGGATAGAAGGATAACTGAAAATAACAATTGCAGGGAAGACATGAGAATATTAAAATATAGGTACTGTAATTTGATTTCAAAACTTTGTTTTAAATCACTATAAAAGATTTATCAAAAAACAGAGACCTATGTTACATGATACCTTTCATTTCAAAGTACTGACATATTTACCTACAATAATTACTTTATGATTTATATTCATTAATGTAATAATTATTGGAAGTCCTACCATAAAAAATAATTTTAATGGTGAAAAATACATTATATTATTATAACATCACATTAGACTTCTAAAAGTTATCAAAAAAAATTATTTGATGTCAGTCCTTGCACTAATTGTTGCCTCTGCATATAAAATCACTGACTTGATTTAGGATCTCAATGCAAATATAATCTATTAAAGTGAAGCCTTCACTAGTTACCTTTCAATGCTTAGTTTTTCACTTTATTTTACTTAATGTGTTTGTTCCCACTAAAATATGGCAGATCTTATAATTAAATGTTTTCTTACTTTATCTACAAACCTCACAACAATGCATGGGATATAAAAGATTTCAATATAAACTTCTTGAATTAAGAAATATATAAAAAAAGAACTCCTTCACATTAGTTAGTTCTTACCTGCAAAGTCTTACCGAGCCCCATGCAATGGGCAAGAATGCATCCTGAACCTGGAGATTTTTTGGTTTTCTTAACAGACTCACAGCAGCAATCCCACATAAACTGAACACCTAAAAATGACAGATATTGAATTGCTGAATGTAAAGGTACAAGATTTTGGGGGGGTAATCTTTCTTCATGAAAACATTTCTGAGAATCAGAGTGAAATAAGAACTTAAAAGCTATAGAACTTATTAAATGAAAATGTTTTTTCTGGGTTTTCCCCCAGGTTTCCTGCACAAAATTAATTAGAAATCAGTGATCATAAATACAAAAAAGCAATGTGACTTTCATACCAAATCTTCTCTACGATGTGGCATGGCCCAAAGATAGCTGTCTATGAATATCCTGAAATATAAACTTCATTCAATGGTGGAATAAATTCCTATGAAATATGCCTTAACATGTTGCCACAAATGACGGCTAATGTGTTTCTAAGCCTGGTCGTCAATTTAAAAAGTGTGCGGCAACGCATTAATAAAGGAATCCAAAAAAGTCTCAAGATGATTTATAATTCCTATTTATGTTCAAGGAATAAAGAGGGCACTGTAGCAAAGCAATAAAAACCTTATAACATTCTTATGCACTCATTCAGAGATAATAAAATTAATTTTTTACACCTCCTGTTACTAAAACAGAAGGTATGAAGAGGTTTGTATTTTCTATCACCAATGTAGCATAACTATTAAAAGCATATCTGAAATATGCTGAAATAACATAATAGTAAAATGCTGGCTGCCCAGAAGGTCAGCTGTTTAAAACCATCAGCTTCTTTATTGGAGAAAGTTGTGAGAAGGTGCCTGTGCTAAGATTATAGCGTTAGAATCTTTACAGAAGAGTTTTACTTTGTACTACAATGAATCTAAGAAGTAAGACATACTTGACAACAATGGAATAGCATCTGTACCTACTATATCACCTACACTGCCCCATTAAAGAAGAGTATAAATAGATAAAAGACACTTGGCATACATACACTTTTGCAAGTAACATTTCCTTTACATTTAAAAATTATATTTTGTTCTATAACAATTCAATTCTTATCCCTTTCAATCCCATTGATCTAGCTTTAAGAGGGCAGAAACTGTGACTTTCCTTACTGTTACCACCAGTACTTTAGAGAATGTAAGTGACAGAGTAGACACGAAATTTTAGTAAAATTTAATTAAACATGATTTATATATCTAATAATTTCTTACCATCCACTTGATGGGGTTTCAATTTGATAACCATATTTCTATGAACTTGAACTAAAGGTTCTTTTGTTTCCTCATCTTCATCTAAAACCAATTTAGTTGTTATTGGACACTTGGTGGGCGAAGCATCTTCAATTTCTATCACCTAGAAACAAAAAGTTGGCAGTCAAGTTCACAGAAAATCCTAAAAGCAATGATGAAATGTCAATTTTTTTTTGGGGGGGGTACAGCAATGAAAGAATTTTTCTTTTATTTTTCAAAGAGAAGAGTGAACTGGAGAGGAGGCTGGGCAGGGAGAAAAATGCAATAATGAATGAAATGGAAATCCAAAGTTTCTGTAAACTTTCATTAAAATTAATAAAAAAACTCAGCAGTGAGGATGGTGGAACTTCATTTCACATACATTGGACAAGTCTCTGGAGCAGAATATTTTGCATAGTCAAGTGGGAAAACAAGAAGATCTTCAATGAGATGGACTAGCAATGATTATAACAATGGGCTTAAGAAAAGCACTAATTGTGATGATGGACCAGGACCAGGCAGGGGTTCCTGTTGTCATGAGTAGGGCAGTAGCGAGTTGGAACCACCTAACAGCAGCAACAAGAGTGTACACTTGCTGAGCTGCTCTGAGGTTTGAAGAGACAGCAGGCAGAGAACACTTCCACGAGTCTTGTTGCCTGGCTGTTGCTTAGACTGTTGAGCCATCATGTTGTTTTCAGATGAACTGTTCCTGGTGATGTGGCAGTTAAAGAACTCAGCTGTTGATGGAATAGGGGTTCCAACCCACTAACTGCCTGTGACAGAAAGATGTGGAAGTATGTTCCTCTGACGCCATCCAGCTTTGGAAAAGCCATGGGGCACCTACAGCACCCTCCAGTGGTGCTAGAGTCAGGTAATGGTTGTCAGATGTAATGGAGGTGACCCCAAAGGCCCCACAAGCTATTCTTTGGCTGCAAAGAAGCTGGTTGTTCTCCCACAGAGCTGCTAGTTAGGTTCCAACTCCCTCTTTCTTAGAGCTTAACTACAGTGCCACCAGGGTTCCTTCTGCATCTTTCCTATTACTCTCACTCCAGCCCTAACTCCTGGCTGCTTCCTTTATCTGGAATGCTCTTTCTAGAATGTTTTTTCCTTCCTTTCCCATGTGGCTAATTATCTCACTTCGTAGAAGCCTGATTCAATAGTCATCCTCTGCTGGGAGAAAAGCCTCATTCTGGAGCCTTCAATGCTCCTTAGTCTAGCCTCCGTCGGACACACCGAGTACTTGACACCTCTCTGGAACCCAAACTGGAGAAGGCAGAGCATTTGGCTTAGTTTTCCACTCAGTGCCCGGCGCCTGAGGAAAAGGACAATTTTGGTCATGCTGACTGAGAGGATGAGGGAGGAAGTGCGGCTGCAGGGGCCACGGGACCCCGGACAGCAGAGCAGCCCTACCTGGCTGGCACCCCAGTGCCTCCCTCATGAAGGCCTGGCACCACTCGGCGAGCCCAAGTCTGTGAGCTTCACCAGATTAATGTCAATTTTACATAGACAGTTCTACATGTTTAATCTCATACTATACATCCAATCTTTAATGATAAGGCCAGAAAAAAGTAAATGATTTACATTTTGTAAAATTAAAACAATTCCTATGATTCTAACTTGCTGTGGAAATGGCAGTACTAATTCTCATACTAGATCTTTTCAATATAATGAAATACAGTTGGAACGAAAAAACCAGGGTCAACTCATAATTCAAAATAAATTATGACATCAACATAAAAATGCAGACAGGTGACTCTAAACCACAAACAGGGCTATTTCTCCTAGAAGATATTTTTGATACATGAGCAAGGACATTTGGGCTACTATAATTAAGAACAGGATAAGATCAATATATAATATAGGTGTAAGGATGATGTAAAAGTTCTATAAAAGCAATGCACCATCAGCATCGATGACAGCTCTAGGCATGCAGCATCACTGCTGCTGGTCAGCCAAGACTTGAGAAAAGGACCAATAAATAGGTAGCAACTTTGTGAGTGGCAGGAGGCAGAGACAAGTCAAGAGATCAGAGCTGTAGTGGGCAGCAGTTTCACGAGAGATTGGTGACTTTCAGCCTCAACACCTGACCCATAAAATCTGGGGTTGGCTGGGGGAGGTGGAAGGACTGCTGACAAGGCCTGGTGAGAGTAGGAAGGGGAGGGACAGAAGTGGATACTAAAGGAAGTGGATGATGGAAGAGTAGGGCAGGGGTGGAACCAAAACATAGACAGCAGAGTGGGGTGGAGGTGAGCGGGAAATGAATACTTCGGGGTAAAATGCTTTTCTACCAGATATTACTCTAAAGTTGGACATCTAAATTGAGGCAGAATAGAAAGAAGGACTGGCCACACGCTTAGAAATAACAGGTCTTTGAAAATCCTATGCTAAATAGGGCACACTTAGACTAGCAGATATGGCACCTGAGGATGAGTCCTTAGGTCAGCAATCACAAAGAAATAGGAACGATTTCAAGCAGACGCTAGCTATTAGAACTTGGATTGTGAGAAGCATGAATGTAGATGAATCTGATACAGTCTGGAGACTAAGGTGCGCCTGATACAGGCCATGGTCTTTGCAATCACTTGCTATATGTCACGAGAGCTGAACAATGACTAGGGAGGATAGGAGAATTGATGCCTTTGAGCTGTGGTGCTAGAGAAGATTACTGAATATTATCATGGACTGCAAGGAGAACAAACAAGTTATTCCAGGTTGCTCCTTGGAGGCAAGAATTCTGAAGCTTTGTCCGACATACTTTGGATATGTTACAAGGAGGGACCAGTTCTTGGAGTGGGACATCATGCTTGGGAGGGCAGAGGAACAGCGCAGGACAGGAAGACCCTCAATGAGATAGACTGATTCAGTGACTAGGGTAATGAGGTATGTGTGTCAGAGACAGTAAGATTGGCACAGGACAGAGCAGGTTTTAGGGCTGTTGTACATAAGATCGCTATGAGTCACAGGCGCCTCTATGGCACATAACAAAAACAAGAGAAAAATGGAATGCAAAAATATTGACATACTAGGCATTGGTGAAATGGATGGGTTAGCATAGGACATTCTGAATCAGACAATCAATATGATATACTATGCCAGAAATGAAAGGGTCAGGAAAAATGAGTGTGCATTCATAGTTAAAAAGATCATTTCATCTTGAAATACAATGTTGTGAGTGGAAGGATAATATCCATACACATACAAGTAAGATCTCTCAATATCACCATCATTCAAATACACTCACCAAAAACCAGAGCAAAAAAAGAGGAAACAGTTGATTTCTACCAACTTTCACAGTCAGAAATTGATCAAACATGCAACCAGGATACTATAATAAAATACAATACAGATTCTCACCACGAACCAACTGGCAGTATCGTGACAGATGGAAAACACTCACATGCTTAATTTAAAAAACAAGACTCATGGAACAAGCATTCAAGAAACCAAAAGATGAACTGCTTTAGGAAGGAAAATCTGTTGTTGGACCTCTCCAGAGTGCTGAAGAGCAAGGATATCAGTCTACAGACTAAGGTACACCTGATCCAGGCCACAGTCCTCACAAATACATGCTATGCAACAGACAGCTAGACAATAACCAAGGATGACAGAGAAGAATTGATGTCTTTGTGGTGACGGAGAAAAACACTGAACATACCATGGATTGTTGAGAGTTACTGTACATAGGGTAGCTGAGTCCTAGTAGACTCAACGGCACATAAAAACAATATACAAAGAATTTGCAAGAATATTCTAGCCTGATGTCAAAAGGATCTACACTAAAAACACTGTAAATATGTTATAAAAGAGAGAAATCTGAGAACTACAGACATAAAAGCATAAGAAAATTACTAAATTATCTTAAAATAGAAAAAAAATCCCAAATTCCTAATTTAAAAGAAAGTACATGATCACAAATATATATGATGAGTTGTTTGTGCATGCATTATGTATGAATGCACATATTGTGCTATTATAATTTAGGCTATTATGTTAAATAGGTACAAATATTCTCAGTGTTTGTTTGCACTAATTAGACAATTGTCTTGTGGTCCAAGTATTAGTTTCGAATGAGCATAATCATATGTTCTGGGATTCCCATTCTTCTCAATGTTAGCCACAGTTTGTTGTGATCCACTCAGTCAAATACCTTCGTATAGTCAATGAAACAAAGACAGACATTCCTCTAGTACTCTCTACTACTGGCCAAGATCTGACATTGTCACTGACGTCCCTTGTGCCACAGTCTCTTTTCAATCGGCTTGTATTTCTAGTAGGTCTCTATCAATTAACTGTTCCTGTCATTTTTGGATGATCTTCAGCATGATTTCACTAGCATGTGATATTGTTCAATAATTATCACACTATCAGATAAGCTTTTTTTATAACAGGAATAAATATGGCTCTCTTTCAGTCCGTTGGCCAGATGGTTATCCTCTAGATTTCAGGGCACAATCTGGTGAATACTTCCAGGTCTACACATGGTTTTTTTAAATACTTCATTGGTATTCCATCAATTCCTTGGGCCTTGTTTTTTTACCAATTTCTTCAGATTCTTCAGAGTAGCTTGAACTTCCCCCTTCATCACCATTGGCTCTTGATCATATGCTGTTTCATGAAATTTTTCTGTCAGCCAATGTTTAGTGGTACAATGACCCTGAGTACTTCCATCTACTTTAATACTTTTAATCTTGGATCATTCAATATTCTACCCATAGAATCCTTAAGTATTGCTACTTGACGCTAGAATTCTTAGGTTCCATTAGTTTAGAGATGCCAAGAGAGTTCAGCTGTTTTGATTCTCTGACTCCAATTCTTTGCATATTTCATTATAATACTTTACTCTGTATTCCTGAGCTGCTCCTTGAAATAATCTGTTCAGCTTCTTAATCTCTTGATTTCTTCCCTTTGTGTTGACTTCTCAGTGCTCTAGGACAATATTCAGAGTCTGTACGAACATTCATTTCAGTCTTTTCATCCTCATTGGTCTCTGGAATGGCCTTTTGCATTCTTAATGGATAATTTTTATGTACTCCCACACAGCTCATCTGGCATTTGTTCAATAGTATCCAATGACTCACACCTGTTCCAGAGATTGTTTTTTAATTCATGTGGGATAGATTCAAA